GAGTTCGTGACGATCCTGTCGGAGCTGTCGCGGGGCAGCGTGACGGAGAAGCTGCGCTGGGCCTTCAACCTGTACGACATCAACGGCGACGGATACATCACCAAGGAGGAGATGCTGGACATCGTGACGGCCATCTACTCGCTGGTCGGCCGCAACGCCATCCCCGCCGTCGAGGAGAACACCACGCAGGAGCACGTCGACAGGATATTCGAGGTCAGAGCAGGGCGCCGAGCGGGGCGGGGTGGGGGATCCTGGGCAGAAGGAGGTCACCTCTCTTAAGAGTAATAGGACGAGGGTCCTGTTGAATAATTCGTTAGGTCATCTCTTGCTGTCGAGGAGGATATTCGACAGGATATTTGAGGTCAGAGCTGGGTGCTGAGTAGGGGCATGCAGGGCGGGGAGATCCTGAGAATAAGTTCACTTGTCTTAAGGGTAATAGGAAGAGGGCCTTGTTGAATCATAACACGTTAGGCCATCGATGTCGAGGAGAACAGCACGCAGGACCACGTCGACAGGATATTCGAGGTCAGAGCAGGATGCAGGTCGAGGTCAAGTTAGGGGAGATGAGACCCTGAGAAAGAGGAGGATAATTGCCTGCCTGATTTTTAGCAAGTCGGAGGCCATGATGAGTCAGTGTTTAAAGTTTCCCGACGTCGAGGACGCCACACAGGAGCATGTTGATGTCTGTCTGTCTGACTAGGCATAAGATGAGGGTCATGAGGAAAACAGGATAATCGAGATCAGGGGTCAGGATAAGGGGTGTCCTGAGAACGAGGAGGTTCATTGTCTCAGTAGTCAGAAAAGGGAGATTTCGACCATAATTAAGACGCTTAAATCGCTGATATTCGAGGTCAGAGCAGGATGTCCCCCAGGGGAGGGGATGCCGAGGATGGCTGTCTGCCTAATGATGGTGATGCTAAGTAAGGATAAGTAAGGACAGAATGCTAGCGCGGGCCAAAGGCATGTCGCGCCCCCGCCGGAAGCAGGTCCAGGCTGATAGGATATTCACAGACAATAACCGACGATCACTTATGGGATATTCGAAGCGGGGAAGTAATGGCGCGCGGTGCCATTACGAAGACAATGAAAATAAAAGTCCCAAGAATGAGGACAAAGGATTTGAATGGGATTATGAGGGCCTTCGATGTGAATATTAGATGGTAATAGGCCTTGTACATGCTCACATACACGCAGGCACAAACAAACATCACGCAGCTCCACTTCTCCCCGAACACGTAAAGCACATTCCAAAATCTTTTGTCGTCACACTAAGGACAAAACGGACGCAAACATACACGCTTAAAACATTACCTTCGGCACATCCAAATCCACATACACACTCACGCAAGCATACATATACCCCCCCCCCCCCACCGACCCACACACGCACCTTCCAGCACGCACAAACATAACCATCCCAAACATACACACTTCCCTATACATATACCCCTGCACAATAAGATACACACACACACACACACACATACACACACACACACACACACACACACACACACACACACACACACACACACACACACACACACACACACACACACACACACACACACACACACACACACACACACACACACACACACACACACACACACACACACACTTACAGACAGTCAATATGGCCATTACTTCCCCCTATAGGTTTTCCTGCCTCGGATCCCTCCTGTTGTTAGGAAAAAAAGGAGAAAAATGCTGTTTTCGTTTTTTATTGACAGACCGATACGAAAGGACCTTCTGTGTGTTGCTTCCTTCTTTATCTTATCTTCCCTTCACACGCAATAAACTGAAATGTGATGGTGAGTGTTATCGTGTAATTGGGTTGGAGAAGGGAGTGAGAAAAACAGTTTTAGTGATAGTAATGGTGCAGAGGATGATGAAGATAATGGTTATGATGATGATGATAGTGTGTGAAGGTGGTGATGATAATGATGATAGTGATGGTGATGGTGATGTTTGAAGGTGATGATGATAATGATGATGATGATGGTGATGATGATGATGATGGTGATAATGATAACGATTACACCAGTAACCGTGTTAGTACCAATAATTATGATAGTAATAGTTACGATGATGAGAGCACACAGTAATAATGATAACGATGATAGTAATACTTTTCATCATCATTCTGATTACGATGCAGATTTTTACATCACTTGTCTTTATCAGACGTACTGTGGTATTATCATCATTATCATTATTATTTACCTTCATCATTATCAATATTATTTACCTTTATATATATCATCGTCACACAAAGCTTCCCTATCTTCACTAACAGGCGTATTTCAGTCACTATCGCTAATATCTTTATACATTTGTCACTTTGATTTTCATATTATTCAAAATACCAACCATATTCCCTTCAGACAAAGACTTCAAATATCTATCAACATTTCCAGCGATTTCTCCGTAGAAAAGAAACTCGACAGGAAAGGACAGTCGCAAATAACTTTACATTTTCCATACTTCAAATATTAAT